TATGAACTGCACACTTGTAAAAAAGAAAGTCATTTGACATTCTTCATTAGAAAATATAGTTTAATTTTAAATGAATTTTAAACAAAGACTAACATTTATCACTTTTCTGATTTCTGATTAGATCTGAAGTCCTAGAAGCTTATACTTTACACAGTTACAGTCACAGCATCAGATTGTGTCCATCATCATATACACAAACAGTTTCATTTCTCTGATCCATACTCCCATTTCACAGAAAGGCAGCTGCTGTGATATACTTTACAGCACTACAACCAATATAGTAATTCCAAAGCTGTTATTTCCCCATGCTTTTATCATGAAGGCAGGAATGGCCTGGATACTCCCAAAGAGGATCATTTTACTGGAGTTCCTGAACAGTCAGCTGAAACAAATTTAGCTTTATTCTGAATCAAAATGAAACATTCATAAACTTTCCCATAAAAAAAAATCTGCTTTTCAAAAGTGCAAACACAACTTCATAAATGAAATTTCACAGCATTTCAGTAGAGGTACATATTATTGCAACCTGTATTGGTAAATACTGCAAGTAACAGTAAGAATTAAAATGAATTTCATCTTTTGGAAACAGTAAGTTTTAAATTTCAAACTGACAAGTGTTGATATTTTTCAAAGACAGTAAGCCAAATATTTTTGAAAAAGAGCTTTGACCAGCTCTGCACTTGAGCACCACAGGAAACCTCAAAGTCGACATGAACAAAGCACTGCCCTGCCAAGTACGGTCTCCATAACCTAGAGAAAGACATCAATTTTCTTTCAAAAGTAATGTAGAATTCAGAGTAGTTCTAGGACGAAGAAACCAAGTGACAGTATCTATGCAGCTGCTAATTCAGATTGATTTTTTTTTTTTTAAAGGCAGGATTTTGTTAGAAGTTTTTTAATGAGATTAATACAATCTGGTTCTCATCCTGAGAGTATATTACATATTGCCCAAGATCTCCTTCCTATAGAGAGTAACTAGACCTAAAAACAAGCAAAACCACCACATTTTTATGTTGTTAATGAGAGAAACATAGCAATACAATACCTAAATATCATGTAATTTTCTCCTTCCTGTAGAAAAATTATATACAGGCTTTGGATAATGCAACATTGTCATTTATAATTCTACAAATTAAAGCACATCTTTACATCTCCTTTCCCCTGCCCACGCCGCCTTTTGCAGTTTTCAAATAACATGCATTAACAAAACTGCATTAGCATAAGACAATTCAACAGACCTTTCAGCAAGATGCAATTTCAGTCACTTTAGCTTAAAGGATATAGTAAACTTTATAGCAATGACAGAGAATTGAAATATGCTTCTGCTCATATGTGCAGATTTGCATACACAAAACTTCCAAATAGAGATTTACGGTACTTTTGCAAATAATTCCTATCAAATAGTCTTCTGCTGTTGCATGTCTAAGTCAGCTGTTGCAATAACTTAATACAACAGGTCTTTGAACAAGGGAAAGTCAATCAAGATAAGATGCCCTCCTGTGTCTGGCAGAGAGCTCTCCAAGAGCAGTAGAGAGTGGCTCTTGCTCCCTAAACTGGCCAATAAATTCATATAATCTATAGGCCAAGTATTGTTTTGCATTTTCTTCACTGAAAATTGAGTCTTTTTAATACTTCTATTTTGCCTTAAATAGAACCTCCCCCAAAAAATCTTCTATTAGCAAGTATTTTCAAATTAATTCTCCTTTCTCTCTACAAATGACAAAGCCTTCCTAGTGTTTTTCCTTAGGAGTTAACCACCAAGTTAAGATGAACCAATGTGACTAGTTAGGGGAATATATTTTTCAGTTTCAGCACAAAAACACATGATGGTTTAGGTCCATTTTTTTATTATTATTGTTAATGACATAAGATTTGATAATCTCTTAATATTAAAACTGTTTTACAGTTAGTCTCACACTGGAATGACAAACACTGTTTGGCTTTACTAGCAGAAAGCTTGATAAGCATACATTTTCCAAGACTGAGAAACAGATCATGTTTTTTGAATTTCAATGCTAACATATTCCTGCCTCTGTGATTGGTTTCGATTAATTTACATTGCTACAGAAGAACTATTTGGGCTGGCCTCTGTTCCCAGCAGTAAGGCAAAGATGACATCTCTAATATAATCAATATACTGTAAGTAGCAATATCCACAGTATTCTAGTCAGAAGTATGTTTTTCTTTCAGATCCAGTCTGTTAATTTTTCACATGTTTTTTGATGACATTCCCTTCAACTTTTATAGGGGTGTCCCTCTCCAATGTAAATACACTTAGCATTCAAGCATATTAATTCTGTATCTTTCTTCCCTTCAAAGGGAACAGCAGTAGCTGTGTATTTGCAAGTTGTGGCAAGTTTCAACAAAATTCTCTCACACATGGCCAAGGTAGTCAACCAGATGAAAGAGTTTGCTTTGCTAAGATACACTTCTGAGTCGCATGGAGTGAAGTCCATGTCTGAACAGGCTGCAGCCATGGGAAGCGTAGCCTCTGCAAGGAAAACAGGAGGAGCAGCATGGTGGAAGACTTCATTCACTACTAGGAGAGGGAAGATTTCTTTTAAAGGGGTGATGATTTGTGTATCTAGGTCTCCTGTACTTGTTACATATTTCTGTCTTCTCATTAAAGAATAAAAACAGCCGATGAAATGTGCATTTTAACTGTAGGATTTCACTAAGCTCTGAATAGTTCATATGGTAGAAAATTATTTAGGAAGACAGCTGTAGGGCAGCTATTAGAAAAAGATATCCATTACATTTGCAGTTAATCCTCTCTCTGGGGCTATCCTGTGTTGTAGCTGCAGGACTCAAGCTGTTATCTCACTTTCCTATAGTGAAACTGATGTGCAATGAAAATTTTCACTGCATTTTAAACATTTTTCAAAGCCATTGGCTATTTAAAGATTGAAAATAAAGGACATACAGAGTTTTTGGCTGTGAAACTTCAATAGGTAGGGGAAATCATAGTTAGAAGTGAAAGAGTTAGGGAGGAAGTTGCACATTAAGGAGTACTTTTAAGCACTACTATGTAGTACTTTTAAGTCAAAAAGTCAGTGTCTTAAGAGACAAGTGTATTTCTGAGTTATGCCACCTTTTTTAAGCTCTGCTTGTGCTGTCATTCTGCACAAAAGCTTCTGGTTATCTACACAACTTTTCAAAACTGATAATTCATGTTAGCATACCAAGCTTTCACTGAGGCACATAAAAATAAACATACCCTTCATATTTACCAGCTCCTAGAAAGGTCTCTATTTCACAGTGACACTGGTCAGCAGCAAGTGTCCAGCTGTGGCCAAGTGGTCACCGGGGTGCAGCATGCAAAACGAGGAAGTCTCCTGCAGAAACGTGTACAGATTCACCTTGCTGAGAGCGCCGCTGTGCACATATCGAATAAGGAACACTTAACCACGGTGCCAGGAGTCCCGTTGCTAAAACAGACTACAGATACCTACTGTTTTGGACGCTGCTGAAATATGAGCTCTGTGGGCTGAAATATTAACAAAAATGCAGAAGACAAGATTTTTTTTTTTATATTGAAATGTTATGAAACAAAGACCATTAGAAATAAATCTAGCTGTATGACAAAGACCACATTTACATCCTATTTTATGACCTCTGGATCATAAAAGGCTTTGATTTGGTATCTTAACTGCATGCATTTTAAAATGATGTTTTGACTGTCCATGATTCTTAGATGATTTTAATTACATACTTGAAATTTAAACAGTTTAAGTTGTTTGATATGCTCTATTTTTCAAGCATGTGTATTATATTTTTTATGGCATATTACCAAAATCAAGAATTAATTAGACAGTATCCTAAAATAGTTTAAAAACAGAATTGCAATTTTATCTTTTTCTCCTTGTTAAGGGCACTGCCAATACAAAAGATGCCCAAACTGTCACTACAGAGCAGTGAAGCAGTTGGGTAAAGACAGTATCCTCAAAGGTTAGTCTGCAATTTGTTTCTATCCTATGTGATCATATACTTTATCAAAAAGTTGGATAATTTGCTTTAAGAAAAGAACCCACCTTAAAAATGGATCATGAGTATTGACAAATAGTTCTAGTCTGTTTTACTGATTAAGATTCAAGTTTCAATGTAAAAATGTTTACTCATATTGTACTTATCAAGAAAAAAATTCCTAAAGTTAAACGGACAATTTCATTTGTGGCTACTGGTGACGTAAACAATTCATAAAGCTCATAGGAAACTGTACAAAATTAAAATGGAAAACCTCACTTTTAGGATGACAGCATGTTGTCCACTTAAGCTTAGTAAAACTGTTGAGACTGTTCTAAAAGACAGTGCTAGGCAAACAGTTTCATTTGAATAACTAGATTTTTTTTTTTTTTTTTTTTTTTTACTAAAACGAACTATTTTGCATCTCTGCAAAACAAAACAAGAGCAAAACCATACACATAAGGACTGTAGTACAGATGAAGGCAGAGTTTTGTGTTACAAACTTGTTTTCAACGTAACAGTGAGAAACGTCCATTGTACAAAACGTAGTGACTTACCTAGGATTAATTTAAGCAGATTATCCCAGCAATGCAAATACAACTCAGAACATACCAATTTTAAGATTCTTGGCAGAGCTAAGGTGGGAGCTTGACTTAACACTGTCCCTTTTCGATCAAAGCCTGCATTTGTGCTTTAAAGGGCTGCTGGTTAAAGTCTACTACATACTTGATTCTTCAGCACAAGCACTCTTTGGTGTAATCGCATCTCTCCTAGCACATTTCCTCTGGCAAGGGGCTGGGTTGAGCAGCTGCTTCTGCAGACAACACTGTTGTCAGACTGTTCTCCTTGTAGGGGATGCTTTAGTAACAAACAGCTGGCTGCATCCAGCATGGAAGATACTTCCAGCTGTGCTGCCCAACCCAACTTGGAAAGCCAAATTTGCATTTTCTGGTTGGCAATATACTTTGATGTGCCCAGTGGGTTGCTCAAGAGCTTAAAAGCACTGTAAGTAAAAATCCATAAACATTAACAGTGAATGAAAGCATTCATTCCACTTTATTGGAAGGGAAAAGACACAGTAATTAATATAGTAGTCTTAAAGTTTAGTCTATGTTATATTTGATTACTGGGATATCAGTACAATGAAAATGAAGGAATTTCAACGGCAATTTTTAAGTTTTAGTATATCATGTAGTACGGCGCTTTATAAAAGGTTTTTGTTTCCAAAGATGTTATTGGGGTCCACATATTCTTTAACAGATCTCAGCATTCCCAAGCCAACATCAGAGATGCTCTCCTTCATCCAGCGCTTCCGCAATTTGCCTACTGGAAAAACAAAAACAAAGCCTTTCAATATATGGCAGGATTCTAGGAGCCAATCAATCTTGTGACCATGAATGAATAAACACTGCATGATAAATGCTTTTATTCAAAAATGAGAAATGTTTTGCTTTATTTGATTTATTGAGCCCACCAGACTATCAAGCTCATTAAGCTCAGCATACTCCCAGAGGAAGCCTGTGTTCCACACTGCCTACTTTCTTTAGGAACTATGAAATTTAGATGAAGCTTAAGCTGAGATCAAATGTTCTATAAAAAATACTGAAGCTGAAAAAAGAGTAATTATAAGTTTTAAAAAGCCAAACACTTCTAAAGTAGAAAGCTGCGAAGACTATTAAAACTAGAATCCCATACTGCTTGATTCCTTTCAGTAAGCCAAATAAGAATGAGAACTTACTGCCAGAAACAGTTTAAATAACTAAAAATTGCCTTCTAATGACAAGACAAAGCCTGGCTTTCAATCAATAAAACATCTTATTTCATTCAAAATTTCTACAGACTGACACTTACACATACTATTTTACATAGGAACTTAGTTTCCATGTTAAAATTGATATTCACAACATACCATACACAAAGCACAGCTTAAACACTACAAGTCTCTCAATAGTCTTGTTACATGGCCAAGCATTCATATATTAACCAAGTCATCAGCTCCGATTTAACAGATCATTCAAAACGGAGGACTTTTTTCATTAAACACAGTATAGCACTTAGCTTGTCAGCCTAAACCACAGTCCATTTATCAGTATGATGTGATATAGTAAAAGATTGAGAGGCAGGTGCTTTAAGAGTATCTGAAGCTAAATTCAAGCCATCTTTTGTATCCTGTTCTCTGGGTAACCATCAAGCTGTCATCAGAATAATAAATTACAGGGACACCTCTGGAGAACAGAGCATATTTGTTTATACCTTAAGGAATATGAGCTAGTCAGAATGCCAACTGAAAAAGCAAACGCGAGAAAGAATGAAATGTGCAGTTTGGTAAGAAACAAATATTGCCAGCCCACGTGTCAAGAGCAAAGATCATAACTGAAGGACAAGAGCATCTGTCCTGTGGTAGGGGCTATATCTGCATTTTGGGATCCGGCTCCAAACAATCCCCATCTGTAAATACACCAGCACTACAGTTTGATTATCTGAGCAAGCTGATCTAGTTGAATTTTATGTGGGGATGGTTTAAAGGAGAGGAAAAAAAAAATGTGGCTTGACCATCACTGCAAGTCAGTGACATCCAGCTCTTGCACAAAAAGCTGAAGAACAGTCGTTACCATTCTCAACTGCTATCTGTAATATAGTTTCAGCGAACGTGTCCTGTGGTTATGGATGTAATTGTCCTGAAAAGGCTGCACACAACTGCTCCAGCAAGATGGAGCACATTAGGAGCACAGCAGGACGCCCCGCAGCCAGCGCGCGCCTCTCCCGCACCTCCAGCCATGAGGCAATTCCACGAGGGGCCGAGCCGCACGCCGGGCGGCGCCAGCCGGCGCTGCATGCTTAATGGAGGCGCTCACCAAGTGCTGCAAAACAGAAGGTGCTTGGAGTGCATCATTAGTTCTGTCAAAGTGATAATTTACACATCTATCTTGTCAAATTTTCTATGGTTTATACTTTTACAATAATAAATCTAACATACATTTGATTAGCGAACTGGAAAGAAAAAAGCTCTACTACAGATAGCCGTGGTCTTTCACGGACACGTTCAATGGAAAGATTTTAACCCCTTGATAACAGCAGGTTGAGCCCCAGCCTCCCGCTGCTCACATCCATGAGATGCATGTGGATGTGTCAGCAGCAGCACATTTTGGTATCACAGGGTTAAAGACTTGAAGCAATCCTGCCCTGAGTGCTAAGCTGGTCCATCTGATTCCACAGGAAAATGAAAAGCTGAGGCTTTGTGCAGATGAGGCACCATGCAGAAAAGCAGTCTTTGTGTTTGTTTCACTTCAGGTTAGCTTCAGGATATTCTGTTCCTCCTCAGTACAGTAACCCAATTAGAAAGAAAAAGGAAGAGGAGAATTCCATAACAATAAGAGACACGGCCATGAACAAAAGATAATTGCACATGACAGAGCTTGTGCTGGAAGAACCTGGTATGTGGTTGCATTTCACCAATCTACTCTCTGCAGCCACTGGCATTACAGTCTCTGCCACAGATGCCCATTTCAGAGCACACTGGACAGGCAGCTTGCTGCCTGCCCACAAAAGCAGCCAGGAGGAGAGGAGAGCTTGGGCTCATCAGGGCCATGCTCACTCATCTCTGAGGATGTGCCTGGGTGGCTGCAAGATCTGACTGCTTAGGATTCCATTTTCTTCTTTTTTGAACAGGAATTACTTGAGCACATAAACAAGCTTGTAAGGGAACTTTAGTGGAGCTTAACTGCAGGTACCAGAAATACACTCTTATAAATCCATTTTATGCGGATAGTGTTATCTCAGCTGAAACGGGCTCTAGTGGCCCTAGACTTCCTCTGCTCCATCCTTTCAACTTGGAGGCAGTTGCTGCAGAACAGCTCTGCAAGAGGAAGGAGGGATGGCTGCTTGGGATGGGTCTCAGGAAGGATGGGGCTCTTGACTGCTACATGCTCTTCTTGAAGTTGGCGCCCTATGGGGAGCATCTTTCCCCTCCTGGAAATTGCTTAGCAGGATATTACTTTTCCAGAGAGCTCTGCAATTCACTGAGAAAGGTCAGCACATTAATTAATCTAATACTGCAGTAAAATGGGACCAGTATACCTGAGGCCTTGTCTGATACATAATTAACATGCCCGATCACTGTCCAACATCTGGCATCAAATAACTGCTCCCAAATTCAGTGTTGATGACTCAAAATACTCTGCATTTGCTTAGCAAGAGGTATCGAAGGTGACAATCCTGGTAAGACTTTCAGCAGGCCAAGGAGGAAAACCCCATACGAGTGATTACAGTATTTCATACGACAGGGATTCTTGGTGTCTGACTCGGAAGGGTCAGTTTCAATGCCTCATGCTCATCAACAGAGCAAGCTGCAGTTTACAGATCAAACGTGATCCACCTCCAGTGTTTAACTTGCAAAAGTAAAAGGATACTTTTTGTGTGCAAAACAAGAAAGTGTCCAACTGCCCTCCCCCAAAGGGAATTTTATAATTCCAGATTTTGTGATTTGTGAGGGTTATTTTACAGCTGAGAAAACAAACCTGCAGGTAATTACTGCAATGTACAACTAAGCCATGACCCCTTCACGATACAGAAGAACTGCAGTGCCAAACATGCTTTTATTTATATATAAACTGCCAGGAAATTGATATTTTACCTGTGGAGTGAGCCTGCACTAACAGTTATCCTGGTCAGCCGCTCCAAGAAGAGAAAAATAGTTGTATTGACTAGGTAAAGGAAGCTTCTTACTCAAATCAAAAGGTCATATAATTGTTTCCTTAAGTAACCATTTCCTAGAACACTTCTTCAAAGGAAACCATTTCTCATTCATTTTAAACTGTTCTTTAGCTCATTTTACATGGCTACTGAACTTGACAATACAAAAGGATCTGACCCAAATCCAGCCAGCACCCTTCTGATGCTGGACTTCAAAGAGAAACATTTCTGTTTATACATCAGTCCTACCTAGTGATACTTCCTCAGCGAGTGTTATTCTATGTATGCCACAAAATATCTATTTTTTAAAACAAGAATTCAATAGCACAAGGTAACATTTCATAGACATTGTTTTAGGGCCTGCCATTATAAGAATTTTTATTTAAATTTGTATCTTTAAATCTGTCATTTCCAAAGTTGCTTTTCTGGTGAGAGGTACCTATGAGCAGACCATGAGACCGTGGTAACCTTGCCATGCCCAAGAGTCTTCCTGAGTATAAACCCTGTTTGTTACATCACCTACAAACATGCCCTTAAATGCAGAATGATAAAGTTAAAGTAGGAAAATCGCTCATGACACGTTCAAATATATAGACTTAATTAATACTCGGTGTTATATTGAAAGGATAAACCCATTATACAAACGCATACTTCTAGCTTTGTTGCGACCTCTTGCCTGTATGAGATTTTCTTGCTGTAAGAGGTTGGTATTCATATACTCTGCTAGCATATCCTCTTAAAAAAAAAAAGGTAGCTATAGCAAAGTATGATATTACATATTGCAGGCTAGTCAGGTGCAATACATTAACAAAGAGAAAGGCCTGATTTTAAAAGCGCTATTTTAAGTTTTAAATTTCAGAAGTGTTCACATGTGCATGGGGAAAATCTCGTAACATTGCTAACTTTTTCCTGAGTATTGCCACAGAGTTACAGCACTTTTCATTGGTGCAGGAGTTGGAGATAATATAAAATAGAATCCACATTAAAATCTCTTTAGTTATCCTTTATAAAATTTTATCACAAATTTAGTTCTCCTTGTAGGAGGTATGGGTTTGCCTGAAATTAGTATTTACCCAGATTTAAACCAGAGCTTAACAGATACCTAAAACTGACATATATGACCATGTCTTCACTCAAGAAGTATATCAAGATTGAGTTAAGCAGGCTTTGTATTTTCTATAGCCTCAAGTCCCAGACTACATCTGTTTTCTTTGATACACAAAACCAGAGTTAAAATAGCTCCATTTATCACAGCATGATTGCAGGCAGACAAACCAGTCTGTCTGTTTCCAGATAGTGAAAACAACAGTTATTAATCACAATTACAAGACAAATAGTAGAAGAAATTGCACCAGTATTTTTCTTTTACCCTACACAATACACCAGTGTTAGCAGTGCTAAGCGTAACAAGGCCTGAAGGTCAGTAAATAAAAGCAATACCTTTAGACTAATTCTCAGTAGCAAATTTACTACTAAACACAGAAAAATGGATCTTGCACATTGTACAAAGTACCCTGGCAGACAAAAAAAACAAAACAAAACAAAAAAACCCAACACTTTAAAGCAGAAAATATTTATCAGGAAGGACAATGCAGTTGGAATTAAACAACAAGAAAGTTTCCCCGTGTCTGTCGAGTGAGAAGTCCACGGGTGCAGCAACAAGCAATTTCTTTTCTTGCCTAACACATGCCGTAAGAAGCAAGGTTTTATATGGTGCACTCAAATGCATCTAATCATATGACCAGCTACAGCTGCATGCAAGCTAGTGGATGAAATACTAGTCACAGTATAATACAGGTGCCACAGCAGGGGAGAGCACCAGAGCAGACTGAGGGGGAAATTCCATACCTCATGTGCAAGAACTGACCAGTCCACTATCATACCACACTAAAAATTCCATCAGTGGATAATAAAAGCACACTAAATACCAGTATTTTTTTCCCCTGCATGTTAACAGAGCCTGAGTCACCCAACTCCTTCCTATTCTGGTATTCCTGAGGCAGAGACCCTTAAAACTTGTATTAAGGTTGTACATAGAAAAATAGGTCTAGCTATAAATCTTGAATTTCAAGATGTTCTCCAAGTCCAGAAAGTCACTAATATGTTTCAAAACAGTCATTTTGCTCTCTAGTTTTTCACCATGCAAAACTAGACTGAAATTTCCAAATTAAATCAATTTTAAAGCATTAGGCTTTTTAATTTTTGCTCTTAATTGTGACTGGGCAATGCCCAAAAGAATAGAGAGAAGATAAGCATGTTGTACAAATCAAGCTGAAGCCAGAACAAGTATTCAAGACATCTGAAATTACAGCATAATACAGGACATATGTAATCAAGTTTAATTAGGCTGTGTGGAAAAAAGCATATGTAAAGCATTAGGGTAACAGTTTAGGCATGATGGGTTTTTTTGAGTCAAATATTAAAGCAGTGTAACTTGTAAAGAGACCAGTAACTCACGATAAATCATTCCCAAACTACAAGTAAGGAAGTAAAATCAGAAGTTAGCAGGCAGCAAGACGTATGTGAGCCAATGCTCAGATCAACTGTGCAATAAGTTGTAGCCTACAACATGGTCTAGTTCAAATAGTTTTTACCACATGCTATGGAACTAGGGCTAACCAGGTTAGACAAAAGCATGAGAAGTTCCCCGGAAGCAGGCTAAAAAAATTCTCAGTAATTTCAATTAATATCCTTGAAGTATTTTTCAAATTCCATTAAGACTACTTTATACATTGGCAAATATGGCAAAACTGTAAGACAGAAAAAACTTGTAATTATACCTCCATGGTGATGTGACAGACTTCCTCCATTAGCAAGGATTTCTTCTCTAGCCGCCCTCTAAATTGGAAAGATAAGGTGCTTGTTCAACAATAAATACACAAAATACATTTCACTAAAAATAAATACTTGATATCATACTCATTTACAAGTATAAAAACCTTTCCCAATCAGCCCTGATCATTAATAGACAGCTTCCAAAAAAATGGACACAGAAAGCTTTCCTAATCATAGATATCATCTTGTCAGTGGTGGGTTTCATATAAAGATCCTTTCTTTTTTTTCCACCTGGAATAATGCATATAACCGTATCTGTGAATTTACAGATTTTTCAGTCTTCCTCATACTTCTACAAGAGAAGGCATACAGCAGCATGAGCAACCTAACTCCAACAAATGGTTAGAGCCAAGTATGAGGGAGTTTCAATTAGCAAGCGCTTTAGAAGTATGATCGCCAGAGTCCCAAATTCAACAGCAGAGAATCTTGGAACCTGTAGATGCAGCTTTGCATCCAATTGCCAAGTTAACAAGAAACTTAAGAAAAAAGAAAAGTATCATATCCTCACTACCAAGAGTATTTCTCTGTAGCCCTGTTAATTATCTGCTACTGAGTATATGAACCAGAAAATAGAAAACACTAGCCATATCCTATTACATATACTAATCTTAAAGATGTAGAACCTGCCTTAGTTTCCCCACAACATACATATACCTTTCACCAGACTAAAGCAGTAACACTGGCTCTCCTGTGTATTCTTAGTAAGCTTACAAGCCCAAATAGGGCTTTTCTGGAAAGACTTATTCCAGAGGTTTTGGTGAACTAACTGTAAGTTTCTTTAACACAGCATAGTTTAGATTTTATCTGATCTTTGCTACCAATGTGCACATTTTCCCTTTGCTGCTGATGAACAAACACTTGATATCCCTTCTCCTGCATTTAACTAGCTTGGCCAACAGCCAGGCCAACAGGTTTGAAATACATACCGTGGCAAACATATTAGCTTGGCCAACAAGTTTGAAATACATACCGTGGCAAACATATATCATCTGCTTCTCCCCTACATCCCACTTTAAACATTGTTCATATATGAATTACCTCTATTTGTTCATAGACGTGAATAGGATCACTAATTCCCCTGTAGTTAAAGGCAAAGTAGAAGTAGACACATGCACCTGCATCGTAAGTCTGCGTCACCCTGTTAAAGAGGAGTACATTACAAGCAGAGCTTTAGCAATTAAACCAGTTACCTTGTAACACCAGGCAATTCATTAGATAATTTAAATTTAAAAGGAAGCTTCCTTTTTAAAGCTTTGTGTCCTTTTTGCTCATATTTTGAGTGAATCAATGCTACGAATTCAAGATAAAGCTCTTCATTCAGTGTTTGTTTGACTCCTTGTTGCCTATAAGCAATAATAAATGTTAAAACTAATCAAGTGCCACTAATCCCTGGAAATTATTACTTTGCTATCTAATCCACTAGCAGAGTAGAGAAAGTGAGATTGCTAACAGCTGTACTAGCAGCTTCACCTTACCTACTATATAGCAAGTTTAATGACCTCTTTGCTAGTACTAAAGTTTCTTAGTTATTAACAAATAAAAGACTCCAGAATAATGAATATTTAAGTTGGTGAGTAACTTACCTGCAGGTGGAAAAAGGAGCAAACTGAACACCTTTTTCTTTACATTCTCTTACTATCCTTTCTTTAACATTCCTACAGAGGTCTAAAACCCTATAAAAGAAAACAATAAAACTGAGTCTTAAGATGTCCCTTTATACAACTTCCTTGTAAAAAATGTGACCTTTAGTAATGTAATGGCATAAATTAGTAAAGCAGTAAGACTAAAACCACTGTTAAGCTAGTTTAGACTTTGCCCTAACAGTAAAATACTCCTAACTAGACTTAAGTATTATTATTAGTCCTCCTGTGTATCTCCTGAGCCGCAAGTTTAGTCTGAAGCAGGGCACTGAACACTGCTTTGCGTAAGAAAGAGGACTCAAAAAACATTAATAATATAAGTCTGAGATCATCTAATTCTGTATAGCTCTGTATATTTCTCTGTAAAACAGCCTGAAACATTTCACAAAGTATCTGGCAAAATGCAGCTCATTGCAGAAGATGAGAACTCTAAGGCCTGGTATGCAGACCACATCTTTGGCATGTTGCAAGGCAAAAAAAAACTTTCCAGCTGTGCATTACTTCACAATCTTGAAATGTTGTAATTCTAATACGGCAATAAGCTGTTAAAGCTTGTCATGAGCCATATATTTTTCTCTTCCCCCACCTCTCTTCCCCTTCTTCTCCCAGGATAGATCCAGGTGTGTCCCAAGCACTAACATACTTTAAATGTTTTCTTCCAAATAGTTTTGATGACCACTTGTTTCATTAGTACATTCTCCTACACAGATCTGAGGTGCTATGCATACTATATGATTTGGACTTTGACATTTTATACAGATTTAAATCATGTGGACTACTGATGGGAGTAATGCATAAGGAAAACATACCTACTTATTGAAGAGTATATCAAGCTAAATATTTTGTTCTAGTATCTCCAACTAGTCTGTTACAGGGTAACTATCCGCTTTGAAAAGCTCAATAACCGTCACAAGTTTAAGCAGAAAGGTTTAAGTTGTGTTGTTGTCATGTGTTTCTCTACTATAGCTTGACAGGTAAGTTAAACAGGGTAGCTAAAGATCTTCACCTTGGGAATAAATTCATCCTTTTGAGCAATCCTTTCCCTGCATTACAGCGGGGGGACAACACAGCTGTCCAACAGATCTGCATAAACTTAGGAGCTTTGTTAGAAACATTTCTGCTTGAAATAAACTGCCAGTTCCACACACATGTGGCTGCTTGAACAGATCTCTTATTGTAGTCACTCCTCCCATTCCCACTCTGGGCACTTTAAAATCCTGATTTTGTTACAGTAAGCTACCCCCTAAATAGAAATGTTATTGAATACCTGCCTATATTGTGCACACAAACCCCAAGATGTAATTTTCCAGCAACTTTAGCAAGAACATGCAGGTGCAAGATTTTAGAGGCACATCAGCAAACCTTCACTATACATAAAACTAAATTAAGTTTCCTCATGTATGAGTTAGCAATAATTTGAATAAAATCAGGTACAAGTTTTCAACGATTCTGAAGAATCAGGTTACCTATCCCAAGGAACAGATGTCTCAAATGATTCTCCTATTATATAGTAATCCAGGCCCAGGTCCTAATAAACAGAGAAAGGAATTTATCAATAACATTCACCATTTACATCTGGGATTACAGTGTAGGATACATAGTTAGTACTTCTTCAGCTTGATAATTTCTATGAGAAGCAGAAACAGTCCATCTAAAAAACAGCCAGGTGTCCCAGTTACAGTAGTTAGTAGTTATGGAAAGAGGGTTTTTCTTTCAATACACAAATGACTTCAGCATTTTGATGTCATGACCACAGACAAGCATCATTTTTCCTATTTAACCTGCTGACAAAGGTAGATTCAATGATTTGCTCCAAACTGTAAGAGCAAAATAAAACATAACACTCAATTGTTCAGAATATTCTGATAAATCTCTAAAAAGACAGTGGAACTTAAACTCCTAAGAATAGCTGCAGTCAGACTCATGTTAAATTTTCTTGATATTCCGATTCAAAGCTTGGCCATAAGCCCAAAGAAAAAGAGCTGAGAAAGAACATGAGTATTTTGACAGACATAAGATGAGACCCCCAACTTTCAGCTCATGGATGTTTTAACACTGACCTTGTTTATTTAGCAACTTGTCAGTGATTCTTCAAAATCATTCTCCCTAGCATTCACTAATAACACTATATTCTTAAGAGGTGCATAATTCAATGTTTTATGTTATAAACAAGCACTACGGAGTTAAAGATAGATAAATTTGAGATTATAACAAGGCAATTTGTGGTTAGAATTCGTAAAAGTATCTCGGAAAAACACATCTTTAAGTTTTAATATAGTAATTAACAGAAGTTTCAGTAAACCAACACAAGGTGACCTACCCGAAGGTAAGCAATAACAAATGTCAGCATATAACCTCTTTGTCCATTATCTTCTCCAGCTGCCAAGCCACTGCAATTAATGAAAGTTAAAGAGCTTTTCAGCAAACTATTCACAGGTTTCACAAAAGAATTAAAAAATAGAAAAAAAAATCAATACTTGAATCAAATATATGAGCAAATTTAACCGCATAAAAACTACATGGTCCCTATACTTATTTTGAAATGGCATTTTATTCCCTTCACTGAGATGCTCATGAAGAATGTTTGCTCTGGAAAGCAGAATCAAAAACAATTTCAAAAAAATGTAGATATCAGTAGGATTAACTTCATAGCAGATATCTGTAAATACTTTAGACTATTCCCTTTCACCAGCTCAGCTAAAATATGCCTGAAAGTACAATGATTTCTGCTCTGTTTCAGTGCAATCAACGACTAAAGCTGGACCGATGACAATTTATAATACAAAACCAATCTGTGTAGCAATGATTTAATAGTTTAGAAACCTTAATCAGATTCTTTCAGCTTTCAGTCATCAGCTTAACCAGAAAATAAGGGTTAATTTCGATATTAAAATTGCTGTAATAAAGTTTCCCCCTTGAACAGTCTTCTGCATTTAACAGCAATATTTCTGCATTCGACGGAAGGCAGATTGCACCATTCTGAAGACTAGAGATGTTAACAAGGACAAAGATCAAACATCTGTAGATGATGTTTGTCTTCTGAATTCAGTTTTGCCTTCTCCCTGTAACCATGGGGTAACTGCAGCAACATGTCAGACACCACTACTCTGGTACTAAAGGAAAAGGCACAGTATGTGGACAAGAGGAACACAGTCTTTGGTGTTCTATAACCTTTGTGATTCTATGATCTAAAGAACATAACTTTAAACAGTATATTATACACTTACCTCAGTAAAGACCTAGTAAAGTGAAGAACACACCTAGAAATTAAACCTTTTCATACTGCAGACTGATATTAAAACTGTATTAGTTTAACACACTGTACTTAGACATCTTCTACTCATTATTCAGCTAAACAAATCTTTAGCCTAAATCAGTGAAGCCATTCCCCTATAAGCTCTTTAAAGAATAAAATGTTAACACAGTAACAGACAAATCAATTTCAGAAGCATATAAACCTTTATATATATAAGTAGTTTCAAAGTATACTTAAAGATGTATTGCAAAGTTTAATAAACTGCTATGACTAATTTCTCCTACATCTTTTATAATTTAAATAGTTTAAAAACTGAAGCAGATTCAAGTTCTCCAATTTACACGAAAATTAATCTGTTACTTTACTCCAGTCTGCTGATCTGCTAAGAGCTGCTACACTTCATCATATAGAACTGCTGCACGCTCCTGATCTGGTAGAACAGTACCTTAAGACTGCCACTTCAACACAGTGAGGGTTTCTTAATTATTCCTTTTGCACAGATCTGTCACAGACAGGGAGGTGTGACACTGAATTAGACCTGCAGTTAAGCTGCAGCTAAGAACAGAATCTATTATGTTTCCTACTTAAACAGTGAGTCATCTCAGTTTAACTTTGGACTGTTTTCATGGTAAAGAACTTATCTTTTGCATAGCAGATTCAGACAAGTACCACTTAAATATATTTGCATTGTGATGCTTATTAATAAGCTAAAATTCTCAGAAATATTAATCTCCCTGGAAAATAATGAATAGGCTGGAATTTTTCTTTTTTTCTATGGCAATGACAACTTATTTCAACATAGATCTTCACTGAATAAAGATAGAACTGTGAAGAATTAATCTAAGGAGGGCTAAACAGTAAATCATTTGAAGTGATCTTAAACGCTTAGGCTTCATGAAAAAGCAGAGGGAAAACTGGACAGAGTACATCCTTGATGGTCACATACAGAAATATGTGCAATTACATGTCTAAGACTGTGTTGGGTTTCTGTACATGTGTGCTCACAGGTCAAAGCAGCAAAGCTGCTGATTGAAAGATCTCAAAAAAGTTATATGTGAACAAAAACCTGAACTCCACTCCATAGTGCGCCACCCGCCCCAAAAAGGAACCACTGAATGATACCAAACTCCCCTGTGAAACTTTGTAAGTCACTTAAGTGACAGAATCAAAGCACAAGTGTCAAAAAATACTCTAAAAAGAGTTAAGGCATTTCTCTATATTTAGATAGTTGAGATGCCTGCAATACTGTTCTTAAAAATAAAAAGGTTTGTTTTTGACAAATGACACTCTTAATTGCTCTCATCAGTCAATCAACCAAAACGGATGGAGAGAAACCACTCAGTCATTACTCAGCCTAATACCGCAGTGCTTTCTGTTCCTTGTTCTTTGAAAGTACAAAAAGGTTTCTGGGTCAGAGTGGTTTGGGACATATATACATGAAATTCCTTTAATTAAAAGGAAATATTTTGTAAAAAAAAAAAAAAAATTTATTCACGTTCTGATGTTGATTCTACAAAATGTTAAGTATCACCTTCATGACTTTGTCTTCATCTCTTTGTAGCTAAAGTAAAAAGTTTTATTTTAGTATTGCAGAACAAGCAGCTTCCAAGTCTGTAAATATATATAATAATGGCTAGCTCAAGGTCTAATAATTTCAACTGCATATTTAATCAAAACATTTTGCACTATTATCAATAGCTCAAGTGCCTCAATGAGCTTAACTATTATTAGGGATTAGCACAAACTATATTTAAAGAGGACATTAAGTATCTAATCAATTATTCACACAGTTAGTAAACTGAGAACAGATCTATGCAACAATTTCTACAAAAAGAGCAGTGTTATTTAACTTGCAGCTTCATATGAAAGTTTTTTGAAAAGCATACCCAAACTTTGTGGCAATATCATAGACTTGCTTTTCATGCTGAAGAACCTTCTCTCTGTCACCCTCAAAGAGTAAGGTAGCTACACACAATACGTTAGGATCAAATCCTTTAAACTGCAAAAAAGAAAAAAAAAACACACACACTTTAGGTCATGTTCTGTAGGAGCATACCATAGAAAAACCTCTAAACCTGGGAAAGCACTACGGAAAGGAGGGAAGTTAACCATTAAAACTGTGCAGAGAGCATACCCCAGTGGAAACAGGAAGAAACCTGCATGAAAGGTTTAACAGCAATGTGGTCCTGTTGTTCGCATGACTTTGTTCAAGAAGAGTTGAAGAGGCAAGAGTCAAATCTCTCAGCAGCACAAAGAGTAAGAGCATTGCTTATTTTCCACATACTGCTTTGATTAATTAGATTCTGTGAATTACTGAGTTATTTTTTCTCCATTCTTCCTAAATCTACATTGCAGTGTTAATTAAACCTTATTCTAGTCTTCTGCTCTATCCTTCTACCACAATCAGCAGCCAACACTTCATAATTCAAGAGACACTGGAGAGAGTAGTGTGAATTGGCAGACAGGCAAAATACCCAGAGCATTTGTGAACACTCGAATGTGACTGTCTGAACTAGGAGCCTTCAAGGCACATAGAAGTCTTCATAGAGCAAGGGTCATTACAACCCATAGACTCACACCACAAATTATGTGAAACAGTTCAGAGGTGAGCAGCAACGCGGGTTCCCAAGGATGCTGCTCCTCCTCTGTAGGATGGAGCGTCTCATTCTCAGGGCACATGGACGGCAGCCCCCTCGGGGTCATCAAAACTGTTCCTTTCTCTACTCTCACCTCCCCTCCTAGCTGGGAGTTGTTGTGTACTCCAGAGGACTATGCCCTACTAGAGAAACAAGAAAGGCAAACTGGTCACTAACTCCAAGTCTCTGCAGTGTTACATGTTGCATTTTTCCAGATGTTGGGATTGTAATACAATTTTATTGGGTAAGTGGTAATGCTGTCGCAGTAGATATTGCTTACTGGGATTTTGATCGCAAAACCAATAAAAATTGTATTGCTAAAACACTCATTTCTTTGAATACTCTTGCGTTACAACAGCTTAGAGAGGAGGTAAAACTATTTCCAGGCCATCTCTAAACCTAACATGCTTTCCAAGCAAGAGAAGCCCAGAGCACTTTCTGTTGAAACACCATGCGAACCATTAAGTCTCCCAGTCCTGCCTGTTCTGTGAAGATACCCAGTAGCATCAGATTAAAACAGATTCTTTACCATCTGCTCCTAACACAACAGGTATCTAAATATTGTTTACTACATTAGAATATTTGTATTTGTGTAAAAGTCTTTAGCAAGTATATTTTAGGAAAAAAGACAGTAACAAGACAGGTTAGTTAAAATACAAGTTTAGGTGAAATTATTTTTGAATCTATCGATTCTGAATTAAAAACAGGCACCTATTTGAATGAATTCAAAGAACAACAATCTATATTGAAAACTCAACAAAATAACCTGAGGTTCTTTCAAATTTCTAGTTTAGCACAATAGCAAGTTAAGCTACAGCTCGAGAAAATCTGGGGAGATACAAGAAAATCGTAAAATGCTAGTTTCACTCCAGCAGTATTAAGTGATGACCAATGGATTCTAAATCACATATTTTTGTTTTCATCTTGCTTTGTCACTCATTGTTAGACAAGACACTTATCTACATACATCACAGGAGAGATTAGCTCTCATGGAACAACTGCTCAAACAGATAATCTCATTTTGGATTAAAATACCTTGATACTGTCCAGTTAACCGATTTGCAATTTCATACAATGTAGGAAGTGTCTGTTACACTCACGAACTCTGCTGCATCGGAGACTGTACAACAGAAAACTCACAACTCCATGAATAGCACGAAAAGTCTCAAGAAGTATTAAAACCCCAACCAGGTACCTTTGTGATGTAGAATTTTTTCAGTCCATCCAAAAACGATGTAAAAATGGAAGCAACTTGTGGTTTAAGAGCATGACCTTTGGCAAAAGTAGAAAAAAGTGTGTTTAGGTAAATAGTAATCTTAACTCCTAGCCCTACCATCAAGCAAAGGAAATAGTTGGTAGGTAAAGCAAGAATCACTTTTTTCCAATCATTTAGAAAACTGATTTAGGAAGAGGTTGTTATTAATTTTCAAAAGGCATACGTGTAGCTCCATGAATATTCCACTTAACACTACTTCAGAGATGTAATTAAGGCTGACCTAGTTTAGATCTTTACAAGCACACGGTACATAGAAAGTTGTTTAAAAAGCACTTCATTAGGCTTTATTCTATAAAGCTAAACAAAACCAGTGACCTTTTTAAAGTTATGCCAAAACCACTGAAAGCAATAGTCAAAAGTGGTACAAGCAAGGAGTTAAGCAATCTTTCCTTTAATGGTTATGTCACTTGTGCAAAATTTTGTACATAAAACTAGTAATTGCTTCCTTAATCACATACAGAGAACTACAATTACTAGGATATATAAATGGTGTCTTGGAGTCTGTTAAATTAACATCTCTGCCTCAAGACTGGGTTTAATTGAGATGAAAGCCTTTTACTATTTGTTCCATTGTTTTCAGTTACAAGCAACTTCTGAACTCCCATAACTACTTAATTTCAACAGTCTTGCATCTGGCCTGCATGCTATGAGCCCAATTCATAAAAAAAGTTATGCACTATTTACATGATATTTCCTTCTAAAATACTTCGAAGTCTTTCCTCCCAAATAAAGCATGAACTTCAGTAACTGGTTACCCCCTTCACGCCTCTTCAAGGAGGAACTCCCCCTTGTACAAATCCCAAAGAATATACACATAAGCACATTTAAGTATGCAAAAAGGAAAAAAACAGCACCAAAGAAGGTAATGAAAGGATATGAATTTATTAAACCACAACCTGTAAAAGCAAGAGGATTTATCTCAATTCAACCTAAAACTCTCATGGGTAACCAAACAACCAACCTCAGATCAAAGCCGCAAAGTGGAATACTGGATTTTGGGGGTTAGCTGTTGGTTTAAAAGCTTACAATTCGTCAGAATTGTTTTCAGTTAAGAAGTAAAAACTCATCTGCCTTTTGCTATCAATGTCAGAGAAACAGTGCAACAACAACAACAACAAAAAATGGCCAAAGCAAGCAGCAAGGCTTGCTGGCTCTCAATTTACTACCTCTTTTTTTTTCCTTTAAAAGCAGATCTTGACTTTGTGATCAAAGAGAGTGTTCAGCTTCCTCAATACCAAAGGTTTTTGAGGTCAGATTTCATACTTTTATCTTGAGAGCACAATCAATATACAACAGTCTTAGCAAGAACTTGGTGCACTGTAAAACATCAGCTCTTTACATAGTAGAATTTCAGGGACTCTTCAAAAGTATCCTGAGCTAGAATACTGCTTTTTTCCACAAAGCTCCTACAGTTTAATCTGATCATTTCCTCTAAGAGGAGCTCCAATATGATCACTCTGCATGTCTGACGTTGTTCTATTTCTGCATTTAAACTTGTTAAAAATTTACCAAGAAATTGCTATACAAATTGTGATACGAAGGAATAAGTTCCAAAAGTCTTATGTATGTATCTGCACAGTATGGTTCTTTCCTGATTGCAGTATCCAAGCTTGCTTTTCCAGAGGAAAAGATGGATTTTTCACAAGCAGTAAGCGTCATGGCATTGTTCAGAACTTCATCTTGAGGTTCATTACTTACTTTGTCTACTTTTGAGTAAAGAATGCCAGCTAAGACAAACTTCAGCTACCAAAAAATAAAGACCCATCAGAAACAGGTATTCGAGACAAGATATATGAACTTACCAAACTGAAACTGTGCATTGTCCACAAGGCGAATTGATGCAGGAGCACATCTCTTGAGGGCAAAGTTGCAGGAACAAGAGGGAAGAATTAAAGACTGTCATGCATTTCAGTAAAATTGTGTTCACAAGGCTTTTACACACAGACAGGCTTTAGAACTCAGTGCACCAGAACCACATTAGGTTCATCCACATGAAAAAAATTGTCAAGTAGTTACACAAAATATCTCATTCTAGAAAGATACTCTAACGAGCGCCCACTCACTACTATATGACAACGTCTGAGAGGACTTCTCCCTGCATTTTCAATAGAAGACCTGTCAGACAAGGTGAGTCTGCAATTGATGGCTATACTTCCAGTTTTTTTTAACAGCATAAAATACAGTTTCTTTAAGGCTAGAAATCTTCTCATGTTAGACTGTCATGCATTTCAGTAAAATTGTGTTCACAAGGCTTTTACACACAGACAGGCTTTAGAACTCAGTGCACCAGAACCACATTAGGTTCATCCACATGAAAAAAATTGTCAAGTAGTTACACAAAATATCTCATTCTAGAAAGATACTCTAACGAGCGCCCACTCACTACTATATGACAACGTCTGAGAGGACTTCTCCCTGCATTTTCAATAGAAGACCTGTCAGACAAGGTGAGTCTGCATTTGATGACTATACTTCCTTTTCTTTTTAACAGCATAAAATATGCTTTAAGGCTAGAAATCTTCTCATGTTAATACAGTTGCAGTAAGAATACAGTTACAGTAAGAAATGTCTAACGCTATTCAAAATACCTCAACAAAATATTTCTCTTCTCAAACCATCTTTGGACTATAACATCCAAAGATCTTTGGCATGCAAGTATTTAGCATATTACGGCAATTCAGAAAACCACTGGAGACACCTGACAAACAACTTGAGTAGAGCATCAAGTTTATGTTGCATCACCCAAAATACACATATTATTTGTATATTTTGCCATCAGATGGTGATTAAAATCCACATCTCGGTCCAGTTTGTATTCTGCATTGCATGGAAGTCTGGAGACCAGTAACAGCAGCTATCTTTCATGAGGCAAAGAGGTTGTATCTATGGACACATTCTACATCATGTAGTCAGAGTATGTCCAGTCACATACCAAGATGTGCAACCAGAGAAGATGACAACAGATTGTCTGATATTTAAGCAAGCTTTCATTCCATCACGTGAGCACAGCAGCCCTCCTTTGTCACTTGGTTGACATGTTCACCCTTATCACAGGGTTAATGTCTATTTGGTCACATGACAGAAGAAAGGGACCTAAGAAAAGGCTAGCTGGCCCAGTAGGTTGACAGAGCAGGTTGGATAAGCAGGTTTTTATGGGACAGACTGCCTACAATCCTCATGTCCTTGCATTACAACAGACCAATACAGACAAACCTGAACTTCTCAGATAAAAATTATTGTAATTACTACCAACACTGATGTGAGGGGGCACAGAGAAGACAATAAGTAACCCAGGATTAAGTAAATTATGAAACAGCAACAGTATCAGAAGATTAGAACAAGAACAGTATGTGATAAAAACCTTTCCCCCTTTAAACCCAATGCTAGATAAAAGACAATAGATTCTTAAATTGGCTTAAGCTGTTGCCTGTACATATAATTAACTACTCCCAATCTGCTTAGGTACCATTAAGAGGAAGGACAAGTACCAAGAGTGGAAGTATGTGACAGAGGAATTGTTAGGTGCTGCTGACTAGCATACATATCATCCACATGGTATTCTGGACAGCTAGCTTAGAATATTAAATCACTTATTTAGATCCACTGCTGGAAATCATAAAGCTGTGTTTAATTTGACAGTTATTAGAACATTTCTGAAATGCTTTCCCCAATTCAAGGTGTATTTTATTACGCACAGCAGTGATTTGGTACTTTATGCAGAGCCAATAAAACTTAGTCTGAGCTCATGAAGAAAGAGACTATGTATTGCAATATTTTCTTGAAAGCAGAGCCACGAAAAGAGGCGTAACAATAACAGTGTGGACAGTGTGCTAACCAAAGCCCATTTTCCTAGAGTCACACAATTGTGATCACACGTTTGAGGGGATTCTATTTAAACCTGAAGTGAAAACCCAATTTTAACTGAAAACATCCAACTCACCTCAACAGGCCAGAGCCTTCAACAAGACTTTTCTACCCCTGTGAGCATAGACCATATCCTTGTATTCCATGACTTTTGTTCCTATGTCACTTTAGATCCCTGAGCCCAGCTGTTCTTTTGAGGAATTAATTTGCAACATACAAACAAAACCTGTTCCCCTCCACAATCAAAGAACCTGAGGACAAAACTTTCCACTGCTGGAGACAAAGTCCAATTGCCTGCCAGAATATGGTAGGAACTGCCACTGAACGTCACCAGAAAAGTGCATCCACAGTTTAGCTCAGTAACTGTCAAAATGCAGAACCTGCTCAGTTGTCAGTTGGATCATCTGGGGAAGCCTGGCAGACCATATGCGCTTACTGACTTTCACATGCTCTCAAATCTTTGTTTACCAAATGCCAAGAAAGACAGACTGGAACATCAGCCTCCCCTTGGCACTACACTCAGGACAATGCTAGAACCTGTGTTCTTGCACAAAGTCAACATAAGGCTTCTCTTTACCTGCTTTGCCACTTCCCTTAAGCAGGCCACCCCTCTTTCAAAGTTGGGGAAGACCACAGAGCCATACTTCTGGTACTCGGGGACTGGGCGAATCTTTATTGTAACTTCAGTAACCACGCCAAGAGTTCCTTCAGGGAAAAAGAAAAACTAGGCAGTAAAGTGCTGGAAGATGCACTTCAAGTTACCCAACTTATTAGCAACTGCTTACTAAGTTTCACATTGACATAAGTTAGAAGTCCCCAAAATTCAAAATTGAACAACTGCTAGATGATTTATCCCTGACAATTTACACAGGAAAAAAAAAGAATCTTACAAGCTACCCTCTAAATCACAGGGTTTGTTACTAGAAATACAGAGTAACTACATAGCTACATAACTTTATGGCCCTAACTAAGGTCTCAGTGTGTTATCACAACACAAGAAATCCATGCCTGCAGAATGTCACCTATAAACACATTGAAAGCCACAGTGTTAGAGATACTCAAATCACAAAGCCATTACAGAAGCTGAATTAAGATGCAGTTACATGGTATTACTGTGTTTATACCTTCAGATCCCATAATGAAGTGATGGATGTCAGGTCCTGTTGACATGCGAGGTACTTGACAGTTTTTTTCTACAACTCCTCTAGGAGTTACCATTTTTATATGAATCACCTGTTTAAACAGTATATAATGATTACACATTCTAGCATTAAGCACAGATTTTCTTTTTTAATAATAATAATCATTTACTATGAAATTCCTATTAAGCTTGACGTAGTTCAGCCTTGTAGGATTTAGATGTTCTGCAGGCTGCCCTAAAAACTTTCGGGATACCAGAGAACTGTTAACCATTATTTCTAATGCAACACAGTTTGCCAACACAACAGATTGTTCCCAGGTCCCTGCCAAATGAAATTAACTGTTGACTGCAGGCAGTCATGGTTAAAACTGCTTTGTTTCTCTCAATATTGACGGTACTTTCTTTGTACACTAGAATTTGAATCCAGAATATACATAAGGCTTAACAGGAAAAAAAGAAAGTATTTTTGAAGCAGAAGAAACATGTTTTGTTGCTTAAGTTATGCTTGATAAAGAGAGCTAGTCTGACTCAGACATCGGTTGCTACAGAAATATATTTCTACTGGAGGAAAGAGAAGACACCTTTGTGAAATGAATTATATTTAATGTACAATTCATATGTAAGGGTAGAAGGTTCTTTTTGTTTGCTTCTTTTTAAGTGTTTCATGAACAACACAAAAAAGGTAGATTTTTTTTTATTGATAATATGCTTACATTACTTGGGTCAGTATTTTAAAACTTAAAATGAACTTAGGATAGAATGCTGCCAGGCCCAGCCCCTTGCTTTCTTCATGACTCCTGCATACCACATGGTGATGTGGCATTTAGCACTTGTGCACCCACACGGCCCATCAGATCAGCTTGTCAATTTGAAAAAAAAGCAGCTTAGGGGGGTGAGGGTGGTAAGAGAACCAGCTTGCTGACAGAGAGCGCTGATCCAACATGACTACTTCAAGAATACAAAACAGATAAGGCAGCATGTGCATTTTGCAATGGATTAATCACAAATTAAGACAGGATCAGTCACAGAGAGCATTAAACAGTGAAAGAAGGCAGAATCAAGATAGGGACTAATCTTGACTGAGAGCAGTCACTGAGTGCCAAAGAGTCAGGCTTGTTTTTATATCAGTGTTACATATTATCAGACTAATACCAAAACCAAACAAACAAGCATCTCCCTCAATTTGATGCCAAGATTGTATTGTTTGTTAACAGAACTGCAATTCACCCTCTCTTTTCCATCATTATTAGTCACTACAAAAATTAAGCCTTTGAGCCATCAATAAAACAAATTAGAACAAGCATTAGAAATATTTACCAGATCTTCAATGTTTCCATAGATGTTTTTTTTCATGCCTGATGCTCGTGTTGCTACCCATCCTCCAAGGGAACTGAATTCCATGGAATCTGGTTCATGGCCTGTACAGAAGCCACTTTCAGCAAGCTGAAGGAAGGAAACAATACATTCTGCACAGAGCCTGCATTTACTTAAAAAAATTAAAATACTGATCCTTGGAGTATTAATACCAAGAAATATCCTACCACCCCTCCCCCCCGGTTATTCAGTCAGAAATGTGTGTGTTTTGCTTTGATAGTTAAGTGCAATGCAAAATGATTCTGCTTCTACCTTGCGTATGCTGTGCTGTATATTTACCTGTAATACTCCTCTCCCCATTTTAAAACAGACGCTACTGCTTGTGAGAAGGTACAACTCAAATGCATATGGAAAAAATAACCAAGCAACTGCCAACTATACAAAAAACCTTGCCAATATACAAGGCGCTTAATCTCTTGTTCTTTCTATTCTAATATGATATGCAGCAGGTCTACAGAAAGTGTCACCAAATTGCCTGGACTTAATTCCCTCAAGGAGTGATGTGTTTTAATATAGAGCCATCTGTCCGGGCCTCCTGCATGCAATGCTGTCAACTATTTGTGATGCAGATCAGGAATTCCTGTGCATTAAGTAGTCACTTGTTTCTCATTTTTCTATATTAGTTTGGCTTTGCCATCTGCACAGCACCTGAGGTCTACTGAAAATCCTTAAAATTGCTGCACCAAAGCAGGCCAACAGAAATTGAGATCCAGCAGTCTCACAATGAAAAACTGCATTTAGTGTATTTGAAACAATCAGTTTGCACTGTCACAATCTAGCTAGAGATGAAAAAGCCATCTTTCTCATCATAAATCATTGTCAGTAAAGCTTTACAAATTCTCTTCCCCTTCCCTCCATCCAAAAAAAGAAAAGGAGGGTGAAAATGGTTGCTCAAAAGAAACTTTTCAAGCAAGTTTTTGTGTGTATTTATAAAGTTCATTAAGGCCCTTTGGAAAGTTTAGATGACATTTAGCTGTCAAATAAGGCAGAAATTACCTAACACTTTATGAACAAAGGGTGTCTCCTGAGGAATAGTAGCAAATATCTGCAGCTTGCTTGATTACAGAGGAACACTGAGAAAGAAGATGCCGTGGCTTGTCTGATAAACCAATTAAAAGCATCCAAAGATCACTGAGAAATGATGAATTTTTCCATTGGGATCCATGTTTTGAACTCCCTCAACTCTCCTTTAGAGAATTTTAAGCAGCACCAGCAGCAGCAAATCTGCTATATGCTACAACCTCTCTGAGGAAACACTGCCTCTAGCTAAAATAATTAAAACTTTTGCCATAGAACAACAGTTCATACTTTTTCTGCTCTATCTTGTGAAGTGACAACATTTCAAAGTGAAGTGCCTTATAAAAGGCATAGCTAAGATTTGCAAGCAGCACACTATTACAGCTGATCAATTGTCAGCTTATTATTGCATGTTTTTTGTAGCTAGAGCTAGCAACAGTTTTAATATATATATATCAAATACAGCATCCAGTGTAATATAGTTCATAACCATGTATTTAATGCTTAGCAGTTCAGTGCCTGTATGAAAATACACCATAAATCCAATGATTTTTGGCAAAATGAGGAGCAACTTTAAGAACAATATGAAGAAACACAGGATCACAAGTCTAAATACCTGTTTTTCCAAGTCTTGTCCAATAATGCCAGCTTCTACACAAGCTGTTAAGTTTTTCTCATCTATCCAGAGAATCCGATTCTGTTGAAAAACACATCAAAGTTAAGAATTAGTATTAAAGATTTGTTTACTTGTTCTAAAACACTATATAGCCCACATACTTGCTCATAAAACTTAATACAATTCTACTTGTGACAGCAATGGAAGCTGAGCTCCCTCAACACCTCAAACAGCTACACAACAGGTTATGGTTTGTAAAGTCACTATGAAGTGACTATAAGTAGCATTATACTCATTAGTCAATTTACCCGAGGAAGGCTTAGAGAAGCCATTCAGAAAAGCCAGAAGTAATTTAGTTCTTACAGAAATTAATGACATAATTATTTTTTTCCCCACAACTGGAACAACTGAAGGTATCTGAATCTAAATATCTAGACATTAAGAGTGCACCAAAGGAAGTATTCCTGAATATGTATGGTGGGTTAAGTAGGCTGCAGGCAATAATCCACTTCAGCTCTTGGGTGTTGACACACTAGACTAGAAACAGAAAATATACTCGGACATGCTATAAGAGAAGTACTTAAGAAAGTTAAAATATCTAGAAAGATTATTTCATTTTGTTTGATGGGCACATTCACTGTCCTATTAGCATATTCTACTGAACAGGAAAGAAGCAAATACTATGAATTACAGGCTACCCTAAGTGTCACAGTCAAAAAGAACAATCCATGCAAAGGAGAAAAAATCCATGCAAAATAGAAAAGAAATGCAAGTTTCATTTTAGCTCACTTCATACAGAGCAAGTCAAAACCTTCAACTTCCCTCTTCACTCTTAACTAGGGATTATCTAGTCGATACAGATAATAGCTCTGCTATTATCTTGGACAGAGGTTAGAAAAAGCAGCATTATGAAAACTATTTTAAGACATTAATAGACAGAGAAAACAGATAGTTGTAGTAACATCAGTAAAATACCATTTGAATTAAAAGAAAATTTAATCAAGAACTTAATCATACTACACATGGCATATGTATAGTATTTCTAACTCTTTATTCCCGCATTAAGCACAGAAACATTATTCTCCACTGATCATCATTTAAAGTAGGGTGCTTTTAATTTCAACATGTTTTTTTTCCTTATAGAAGAGCTATGTACCATTTGTGATGTGTCCAAGGAAACAATTGTTCTTTTCTCTTCCTCAGGACATTCAAGAGCACTAGAGACGCTTGTTCCTCCTGAAAATATGGAAAAAAAACATTGTTTAATAAAAGTTATCTTAGAACATTACATGTAACCTGTTCTTTCTATTCCCTCTCATGTTATGAACTTAAAGATCACTTTCTTTATGCTGCTTATCCTTGACCAGCATCCCACTGCTGACACTAAAGTCCAGAACAGAATATTGAAATAGAGCAGTATCAAAGCCATCCAAGAAACTGTTGTTCTTTTTAAATACCAAGTGATAGAATTACAAAGATATTATGCTCCTATCTGGAAAGTTGGCTGAATCTCCTTAATATAGGAACACAATACTTACCTTCAATCAATATAAAACTTTTGGAAGAGTATAACTATAAAAACAGATGAATAAAATCAAATGGCAAACCTCTTTGGAGGTTTCTAATGCATCTTTATAATATATCCTAGAAACACCTCTGAGAACCCTCTGACTTCTCAAAGACTACAAAAGTCACAAGAGAAAGAAAAAAACAATAATACTAACGAGAATGTGTAAGGTACTACAAGAATCCCTTTCAAGCCCCAATGACTGCAGAGACAGAGCCAACTAATCAAGCACATAAAACATTCTCCAAGAGCAACACCACCAGACACCTTCGCTTCCCACAATAGAAGGGGAAGCATTTTCCTTAAACACTCCTCATCCCCCAAGGTAGAAAGTTCAAATAATTAATTGTGAATTACAATATACCAAAATTTAATTCAAGTACATTTTAACTTATTGATGTTAAACAGCCTGAGATTTGATAATACTTACCACCAAATGGTATTATGCAGAGACTGTGCTTACAGGCTAACTCCACAATTTTAACTACATCTTCGTGGCAAACTGAAAAAAAAAATTGACACACACACAAAATTTTTGTTTAGAAAACAGGCTGAATAAGCAGCAGCACCTTTTCAAACACCAGCAAAGAAGATATTTCAAAAGCAGTTAAGTAGCAAATACAAACCAGGCTCAAAAGTATTGGAGTTCCAGAGTGAAGTTCAGATCTAAACAATCATACTTCTAAAGAAAAGACTATAACCTTAGTTTCCTGGTAAAATAGCCTTGCTATACTCATGGATTGAGACTTCCTAGCAAACTAGCTAGCAAACATTTCTGCTAGATGTATTGGAGAGAAAGTTAAGTTCAAGTCTTCTTTAAAGTAGGTTATCCAATGTATATGAAGTGAAAAAAGTCTCCTCTGAAACACGAAGAAGAAAAACATCTGTTTTATCCTGGCTGACACTCAGTTTCAAAAGCAGAGTTGCTTGTCATATTTGCTTTTTTGAATGCATTCCAATTCATCTGCCCACAAAAACTTCAGCTACATTTAACAATGAACTTGACTTCCCTGTGGCAATATGAAGTATTGGGATATCCCAGGAAAAACTAGTAATCCAGACGTTAAGTGATCATGGTTACCACTCATGAAAAAAACCCTTCAGGAGTTTCTCCATGACAAGAAAGTATAGTTTAGGAAACAAATTCCCAGATCAGAAAGGAAAAGAAGAATTACGGCTTACCAGGCCAGACAACTATATCAGGAATTCGCTTAAAAATTCCTTCCCTGAGTGCAAATATCTCATGTAGGCAGTGACCTAAAACCCAAATAATAAATTAAGAAGTTAGAACAGGAAGTATCTAAAAGCACACAGTTACATAAATGACATCCTCTTACCATGAGCTCTGAATACCCTATCTTCTGCATCCTGTGAATATGAGATTTTAGTGGCTCTAAGATCCTGAATGAATTCTTCATTTACAATGGGTGGAGGTACATCATTAACATTTAAGGTTGCCTAGAAAACAGAAATTTAAGAAGTTCATTTTTGAATGTTTAAAAAAGTAGCTCTTTTAATGTAATGAATAGAGGAAGTTTTAGGTTTATTCACACTTTTTCCCCACCGCCTTTAACTAAGGTGTTATTTAATTGAATATAAAGTTTTAGTCTTATGCTTAAAACCTCAGATGCCTATACTTCAATGCATTCCTATTGGGGAAAAAATAAGTTTCTTCTAACTACCAGTCGCTCAAGAACAGGAGAATTGAATTTTTTTTTCAATATCTTCATTTATTTAATACTCCTAAAAATAAGCTGCACAAAACCACCTGAAGCATACACTGTAGGTCTTTCAAAATTTCAACACAAAGACAATCCTAGCAAGCTAAGTAACACCAGCTTCAACTGAAATGAAAGAGCATTCTTAAAATTTTGTTTTCAAGTCAATAGGAAAGGCTGTATGCACTGTCTAATGATGCCAGATGAGCTTGCTTAAAATCCTACTACCAAAGACCAAGTATTATGTACAAGAGCCTACATAATCAAAGAAAGAACATTTCTTTTTTTAGGCCATCTTATGCTTATTGACCAGTAAAAGCTGAATTCATTTTCCTCTCATTTCTTAAATTCTACGCCTTCTATAAAAAACTACATTCACCCATGAAAATTTCCTGTCCTTGAAGGGTTTCATCTATTTTTGTTCCACCCAGCCTATACTTTCTGCTGCCATGTTAGGAGTGAATTGTTAAGACAAAATCTTAGAGCACAGCACCAGCTCCCAAACTAACTGTAAGGAGAACACAGAGATCAATAGTCTCTCATCTGGCACCCTCCAGTCTCTTCTGAACTGGCTGGCTCTTGCACTAAGATAACTACAGGAAGAAGGACAACCTTCAAAAAGGAAGTGTTCAGGTAATGAGCAGACCCATGAGGAGGCAACTTTCCTACTTGCCTAACAGTGCCCATTATAAAAGAAATAACATATGTTGATGTTGGAATTTTTAAAAGTCCTTATTCATTAAGGAACATCTGCATGAGACAGCTACTTGGCTGTCTTCAAGCCTCAAAGAGCCTCAAGGTTCAAAAGCAGCACATTGCTACTAAGAGATGACAACTTAACACAATAAGCACAGATGAAGCCAGGATCAGATTTCATGTACATTGTGTGTTTGAATGATTCATCTCTAAACTTGGCTTTGGGACATTTTCCAGCGAAGTCTATGTTCACTCTAAATAGACTCATCTATTTGAGTAAGTTAATTTACTTAAGGAAAGCATCCTCAATAAAAGATAGACCTGTTACAACACTGCAAGTAGTGGCCCACAAGAACATAGATCCCAGATGACATCTGAAAGGTTGACCATTTCTCAGCTTTCTGCAGGAAATTTACTGAAGAAAGCAGTAAATGCTCACTTATAATCTATAATTCACTTATACTAACTATCTATAACAATGTCAGATGAAAAATATACCTTTATTCTTGTAGGAATGAGCTATTTGAATGAGATTCATATACTGGAAGGGCAGCAAGGAAGCCTACTTGAACTAAGTTTGTTGCTTCTGTTGATAAGGCTTTTCTAATCTGAGGAGGGGAAAGAAAACTGATGAAGCTTTGAGCATCAAGAAGCAGGAACATTTACTGCTTGCTAGTGATAGCAAGAAAGCAACTTGCACTGCAAAAACTTCTGGTCTTATAGAACAGAGGCAAGAAGAAATGAGGTACAAAGACTAATGGACCAAGAAGCCCTTTTCCTACTGCTGTTCCTATGCCCGAGTTCCTTTATTCTCTGATGACAGCAGACAGTAAAAAGTAATATACACTAGAAACCATCACTGAGACATTAGAACAGAAGACGCACAGTAATAGTTAGGAATTCTGCAAGTCCAGACTTACATTAGAGACTCCAGAGGGGTCTCCTATCTGCTGTCAAGGTTACAACAAAATTCAGATTACAACAGCATGAGAACTTCCTACACAACAGGATAGAACTCATATTGCTGGCCGATCTCATGAGGAGCAGGTCTGCAAGATGTGCTGTAGAAGGAGGATAATATTTGAGAAGCCTCCCTTGTCTTCTAATCATACTTCTTTCTATGTTTCTATACATAAGAAAGGGGAAGAACTGCTCTCAGGCCACTAGTCACAACTAGTGAAAGCAATTCCACTACCACTTAAAACCAATGTGGGTCAAGGAAGATGCTCATGTGAAGACAGATTTTTTTTTTCCCCCCCCGCAACTGTCCTGGCAGTTCTGTTGGCCTGCAAGCCATAACAGATGAAAGGAGGAATGGTCAGAACAAGACTGAGGACATGTTCACATTTTCAGGTCCTAAAAGATTATTGGCTTCAGCAAAAATGCAATCTTGAGCTAACTGAAGAAACTGTTTTCCAGAACAGGTCACTTCCTAACCACTGCATGAGCTCAGCCTGTTTATAACAAATGCACTGGAAACATTGCATATTTTAAACTTCACCATCTTTACACTTGTTACCGTGAACAACCATGAGTCCTTGTAAATGAAACTCCCTCTTGGCTAAAAGTTTCAGCAAATGGGAAAACAAACTACAACTACAGACAAAAATTCACTTTGCAAAAGACTTACTGCAATTAAAGTATTACCAGCTGAATTAGAATAGCAAGTTTTTCTATTGAAGGTTTCATGTAGCAGTTCTGTAACAAATATCAGCTCTTCTAAAGTGCTGCTATACTGTAAGTCAACCATATGCAAAGCCATTTGACAACTTCCGAATTGTTTTTAGTACACAAACTGGTCTTGATCACCAATATGAATGTTCAAAGGAACTGATTTTTTGAGCTATTTACTTACTCTAGAGGTAGATTTGTGCTCCAGACTTGCTCCAAAGGTTTTTTCTATCCATTCCTTAAAAGTTGGTAATACCATACCACCTAATCTGTACCTGTAAAGTCAATATTACATATGGTCATTTTAAATTAAAACAATGCATATCAGACACACTGCTTTTGATGCTACTTGGTCACAAAGAGTAAGTTTTAAATGAAATGCTTTATCTACATGCTTGCAAGACTTCTATATATTCAACTTTCATGCAAGCACATACTTCACAGTATTTAAGTGTTCTGTACTTAACACAAAATCATACCAACTGTTAACTTAAATATCACTTTCACTTTAAGATCTTTGGGAATCACAGCAAAATTTAGGGTTTTGCAGTTTTTGTTTGTTTTTTTAACCACTACCACCCTCTCCATTTAAGAAATGTCTCCGAGTAAGGCAGAAGGCTGTGTGACAACTACATTTTCTAACCCAAGCTACTCACTCTTCTCAGTCAATATTTCAATCAAAGACCGGAGTCTAGGTAAGCAAAAACCACCATAATGCAAGTTCAATAGAAGGCTGTGTGACAACTGCTTTTACTCTTTCTACATTTTCTAACCCAAGCTACTCTCTCTTCTCGGTCAATATTTCGATCAAAGACTGGAGTCTAGGTGAGCAAAAACCACCATAATGCAAGTTCAACACCTTCCAGGTCGAATAACCCTCTGAATGCCACAGAAAAGCCATGTACTTGGCTGTACCATGTACCATGCCAGGTACTGTCCTAACAGAAGACGTTGTATGGCATGAGAAGCCTCAGGTCAAGACCCAGAAGGGGAACATGGACACTGAAAAGTATTTAGCTTCTATCTTAGGAAGAGCCTATCTACATAGCAGATAAAAATCTGTGAAAGTTTACTCAATTAGCTGGACAGACAAGGGACAGATGAGCTGATTACAGCCATGCAACCACATGCAGAATAGGTGAGGCAGGAGACGCACTGTTCAGATCAAAGTTGTTAATTATATGTACACATGATGCACATATACAAATGTACAAACGTTCTCCAAGGAGAAGAGAACAGTATTAGGAACTTTCAGCAGCTGAGAAACCTTACTACAGATTCCACCTGGATCACTGCATTAAGCCTGATAAGTGTTCTTGAAGATTTTTATTCACTGTTGAGCCAGTTACAAGCCTGACCCATCAATGGTTCTGAAGTTTGGGAACTTAAGCTTCAGCAATCTTCACTACTTATTCAAAGGCCAAACTAGATCTACAAGCAGTTCCTACCAGTAGCAGTTTCCTGGAAGAGGAAATCCTGTTTCACTAACCATGGAGTTCTGTGAATGAACACATAATTAAAAAACATTTGTTTTTCCACAAAGATTAGTAGAGGAAGTATGCTGCTACAGAACTAAAGGAAAGGTTCTCTCATTAACTGAAAGAAGTTAAGACAGGAAGGGCAAGGATTATTGACCCCTGTCCAAGACAAACTCAGCAGTACAGGTCCTCACAGAGCAATACTGGTGGGAACAATGCTGAAGATTTCTTTAAAATCTTCATTGTTGTTCTAAATTAAAGAGTGGAATCTCCAAGCAGGTGGAAATTAAGTCCATTTTGGCCACCCTGGTTGCACAGAACTCTAGAATCTTTTAAAAAAGGTAAATAAGCAGGCAAATGAAAAACAAAAGATAAACTTTGATGTAGATGATTGCAGAAGCAGGAAAAAAGATCAAATGGTACATGCACATTCTGCTGAACTCAGGTTGCTTGTTAATCCAGTAAAAATTTTGGCATCATCACTAACAACATACAACAGCAGCCAAGTATTATGCATCATCAGGAAGAGTTTTGAGAAACAAGACAGTCTTTTTGCACTTCGATGTAGATGGATTGCAGGAGCAGGAAAAAAGATCAAATGGCACATGCACATTCTGCTGAACTCAGGTTGCTTGTTAATCCAGTAAAAATTTTGGCATCATCACTAACAACATACAACAGCAGCCAAGTATTATGCATCATCAGGAAGAGTTTTGAGAAACAAGACAGTCTTTTTGCTCCTTATAAGACCTTCATTCATCTTGATTTGTGTGTGCAGCTCCTGCCCCTGCATCAAGACAGGCAGCATTAGAGAAAGTTCACAGAACAGCAACTAGTAAAATCAAGGGGATAGAATTTTGCAAGGAGAGACTAGAACACCCAGGACTTCTCTGTATGGTCAGAAGAGTATGGGGAGGAGATATGACCAAGTCCTGCAATCAAGGTGGTAGCAGATAAGTTGAACAAAGAAGTATTATTCCCCTAATCCTACAACACAAGAAATAAGGGGTACTCAGTTTAAGACAGAAGTACATTACACAGCAAGTGACCCTTCCAGAAGGTGCTGCCAGAAGGATGCTAGAGAGCCAGGCAGTATCAGTTTACTGTCTCAAAGAGTATTTGGCAAGTTCATGGACAATATATCTGTAAATGGACACTAAAAGCACTAGGCATCTCCAGCAATCTTTGCAGATGCTGAAAGAGTAGTTGTCACAAGAGTTGAGTTCCCACTCTTCTCAGAGTCCTTCTATCCCCGGGAGACCACTGCATAGGAGCTACACTGGCATGGCCCAAGAGGGCCCTTCTCATTAACCATCACTTAGAGAGACTGCAGATGGGCAAGAGCAGCACCATTCCAGAGCATGGACTCGTGTTCATTAGCCAAACCAGCAGCAGCCTCTAAAATGAAAGTCCAGTTCCATGCCCTTTCTTTCTTCATTGCAGAAGCTTGCTATGGAGCATAACCTACTCCAGAGGAAGAGCTAAAGAAATATCAGCTGGAAGAATGAGTGGCAGTGATAGGAGCAAAAGTCTAGGTCAAAAAAAAAAAAAAAGGAGGAAAAAAGGAAAATCTCTTCCATGCAATCCTAAAGAGGAATTTATGAAAACAATGTAATGTTCTGATTTCTTTAGTGCAGTATGTCAGGATCCTCAAACCCTACCTACCCTCAGCTTTGCGAGCTATGAAAGTAGCTATGAATACTTGTTGTTTTCCCATTCTTCCCATTTTCTTTCAGTGCTTCCCATTTCTTTGCTTCTAAGAAAAGAAATAAGGACAACTTGGACAAAATTCAGGCAAAATTCAGGCAACTGATAGTGCAATCTCAAAAGCCTCAACCAAATCCCAAAGGCAAGTGCATTTCAGCAGTAACTCCGCCTGGCTTGAAAGGCCTGTTTGGTGGCTAAGCAAGCACACAGAGCAGCAGCTGTGCCTGCCAGAGGACGACAACTCTGGAAGATGTGTGTTCATAACTAGGCAGCTCTCTAGCAACTAAAGCAAATGCTTATGGAATCTCCACAAACTACTGGAGATCTTATAAAAATCTTATGGAAAGGAAGAGAAGGTCCTATCTGACCTTTAGAAAAGCTCTAGAATGGCTTTCAGCTCCAAGAAACAGCTTTGCAGATCTCATTATTTCTAGCAAGAAACCACCACTGTGTTCTTGAGACATTAATAGTGAAACAGTAGTAATGGCTCGCTTAAATGTAAGCACATCAGTATGATATGCACAGAAAAGTTACTAGTTACTATATTTATATCTTTTAAAATCAGGAAAAAGATTGCAAGGCTCTTTCCTCCTTCAGGGAGGAAAAAGTATGTGAAATGAAAGGCTGAAATGCTACTGGAAGAAAGTGATCAGTTTAAGTAGTCTTAATCTTCCTGTTATTTACTCAGGGATGAAATTTCTTAGACAATTAGGTCTGATGAACAAAGCTCTAGGAGTTAATAAGCCAGAAAAGCATGTTATCACCAAAAAATGCACTATTAAAGAGCAACTTTTAAGTTCAGAGGATTGAAGAGCTTCATGCAGGAAAGTTTAGAAAAAATGAATTGAAAGTTAAGTAGTAAAGCTACTCGATGATGCTCATGAGATTCTTAAAACTAATAAAATTGCACAGGACTGCTGCATGCTACCAAACCTTTAGGAGGTAAGGCAGATTCTTAACCTGATCCCACTCTTCAAAAGACATTCAATGCACAGTAGATATACAAAGTTATGGATAAGGCAGATTTTGTATTTTTGTAATACTTTAATAAACCTTATTATAAGCCACACAGTCTATTTTAAAACATATGTAAGACTACACATAGAGTGTAATAAACCTGATAAACACCAAACAACCTTAAAACTGATTCTGAGCATAAACAAGGCAGAAAACTTTCTATAACTGAACAATATTTTTCAATTTATTAGTTTTTTTAAAAAAGCATTGAATAAAACACTTTATCCTGCTTCAATGATAAATTGAACGTACCTTCTTCCTGTGAATTCTGCTTGACCCTTCTTATTAAATATGAATTTGGAGTCATTATATCCCCAACCATTCCACTTTAGAAGTTCTTGCCTTAAAGGGAGAAAAAAGTGAGAATGTGTTAGCATACTGTAAACCAGAAGCATCTCTGCAATTTGGAGCTTTATGGCTTTGGAAAACCTTTAGGTAGTAATTCGAGAAAGCAAGTGCCCATCACAGGCACACAGCTTAAGACAGTGCAATAAAAAAATCTTTCTGAAGTAACTTTCACACTGTAGACATGACATCTTGATGTGTGAAAAACATGGTATTTTACAGAAAGACCACCAGTTGAAGCCAACACACACCGTATGATATAGATCAGCAAAAAAGTGATGCTTGAAAGAGGCCCTTTTTTAATTCTACACAAATATTAAAACACCAAAATGCATTATTTGAATTTCAGAATGAAAGACAATTACCACTTATTCTCTGTCAAGAAATAAACTTTAACATCAACACCGAAACCCACTGCATTTTTAAAATGCTCATTTAACAAAGCACTCCTGGGAAGAAAAAAAAATCATTGCAAGAATAATGTACCAAGCAACTTGAATGTGACCTTAAAGTAATGACATCATAAGAAAGAATATGGAAATATATATATAATAATTGCTAAAATACAAAACTAAATCCTCAATCACAACTATTCTAAAAGAGAAAATATTTTAATTATGATAGTCCTAAGTCCATAGTATAATCATTTAAGAAGAAATGCAAAAACAGTAATTATACATTAACCTAACTTTGCTTGAAAAAAGTCCTCGTTTATTTACTCTAGCTATTAAAGGATAACTTTACAACTGAATTTTATTTAAAAGGCATCTTCAATAAGTTAAAGGCAAATGATTTACCTCAATCCATGGTACAACATGGCTCAATCTTTCAGTAAACAGTGACTGTAACTCAATCTTTCACTAAACAGACAAGGAATAAGATAAGGATCAATTGCAACCCTTCCAAAAAGATGTCTAAATTCAAATAAACCATTGTTATGAATCACTTACAACTCCAGCTTTACATATAAGAAACTGGGTGATAATTGCTTACTGAAGACCTTTATAACAAAGGTAAGAGGAGCATCAGATGCCAACATGCTGCTTAATCAGAGTTTGTTTTCTTCGAGTGGTCCATACACAAGGTTTTCATTAGTCAGATGGAAAACACACAGGAACCTATGGCACTACAGTTTGAAACACAAGTGTTTCACCAGGCATGTTGCATATATTGTTCCGCCCAACTGAAGCAATTCTAAAGTTTCAGCCAAGATTAAACCATTCAGCCAAGCAGCAGCTGAGATGCAGCAGCCCCTCTGCTGCCCATTTCAACAGGACCAATCCTTGCACTTCACCTTCTCTCAGAAAGGGACAAGGATCCACTCGAGCTTGGTATGAAAGCGACACCTTGGGATCTCCTAGAATATGACAACTAACATTTAATAAGTGTTTTACTAAAACTGGTAACAAGTGCTTGGATTTAAGCGTATTATGTGTTTACATATATATGCATTTCTAATATATTAAGTCAGCATCGCTGACTGCTGAGGCCACTGACCCACAGGCCCCAAGAAGACCCCTCGGGAGAGCAGGCGGAAAAGCCTGCAGAGTGCGCGGGGGGCTGGCCCTTCGGTCCCGGATTATTCAGGATAGGTGCAGGATGAGGAGCCCTGCAAGGCACAGGCCACAGCACTAGGCTGCTCCTCAGGGTTGCTTTCCTATCTGAAGAACCACAAATTAGGGAAATTACTTTAAGACACCTGCTCTTCACCTTCATGCTTTTCCAGCTTAAGTATGGAAACCACCACCACAACAACAAAAAATCATTTTCGGTATCTCCCCATTTTTAACTTCCAAAGATCTCAATATATTCTTCTGAAATAAGAATTTCACAAAGACCACAAAGAAATGCGGAGGATGTACAGTCCTAAACTGACATTAAAGTCTCCCCCAGTGTACGACTAATGCATGCACCAAGTGCTGAGGACTGAGAACTCAAAACACACGTTGATCTGCAACCAATATATACTGCCATTTTTCCTAGATTTTTACAGATTAAATATTGTCTAACAACTCATTATTTGGTACCATCTCAAATGCAAAGTTTGCCCTGCAACAACACCTTAATTTCTATTCTAGTTTTTCAAAAGTCCAAATAATTTCTTAAACTGCTAGCTAAACAGTAAATAATACAAATAAATAAAAGCACACACACACTTAAAAGTTACTCATGATCTCAAAACATGTTAATAATTTCATGTCCAAGCCTGAAAAAACAATCAGAAGTTCAGTTTGATTTGACTGATAGGCATGTGTATATTAAATACATAGCAAGACAATCTTATAAGCATATCCTTACATTTTTCTTTCTATCTATTCTCCAAAGAACACACACAGAGAAGTTGAAGACTCTCACCAACATTTGCTATTTTTCATGTTTTAAAAACTGTTCAGTTCTACATTCTACCTGAACCGTATCATTTTAAGATAGCTCTGTTAGTCGTTACCTTCACAGGAACGGAAATAGTACTAAATTATCCTGATATTCTGCTAAAGATAAAAGTAGGAATATTTTAGCCAGAAATACTACATGGGGGCAGGGGGGGGAAGCGACTTTCCCTTCCTCTAGGTTTGGCTTGTTGCCAGACATGTACTACAGGAGGGGAGGAGAAGAAAAAAAAAAGCATGAAGTACTAAATACAAAACAAAGCTTGTTTTTAACATTATATATAATGGTATTGCCCAAAGGGAAAAATCTGAAAGAAAACAAGTTTCCATGGTAACGGTGACACGCGAAGACGGTGTTGCAAAAGCAGCACAGCCGAGCTAAGGAAATTTAGATACTTCATTTTATTACAGTACCTAGCATCAAAATACTCATTTGACTCAATGCAACAAGGATTAATTTTTACATACTTGTTAAACAAATCAAGCCTTTCCTCACTCCCTCTGAGAGCTCATTACAGAATAGGTAGGAGTCACTAGGCAGGAAGCTCTTCAAATCCCAGCGCTGGAGACTGTCACATCCAGCACTGAAACAATCACAGGCACCAAAGCAGAGACACAAGCCCACGCGGTGGCAGCATTTGCCCACCGTAGGGCACGGGTGGCAAGGATTTCCCGTCCCTGCACTCCTCTGGCTCGCCAAGGCTTCCAGCCTTAACCAAGCACTTGAATTAAACCAACATGGGCTTCAAATCTCACGCTTTAGTGACAGACACTGACTGCCTGGAAATTGCTTCCCTTTCTCCAGGGAGGCAGCGCTGACCGAAGGGTAAGTGCAGAGCTTCCAGCTAACACGCACAGATGCGCATCAAATAGCAACACTACTTCTCCCTCTTCACCACAGCCTGGAGAGCTGGCACACCACACAAGAGCAAAGCAAACCTGAGCTAATTTGCTAGAAGATCAAATGATTCAGCTCCAGGTATTTCCCTAAAACACAACAAAAGATACAGAATCAATGCAACGCAAAGTATCGAAACCAAAACACATTTGGTTTATGGTTTCCTCACCATACCCAACAGTATTTTCAATTCAATCAGCAGCTGATGCCAAGCATTGAAGCCTACACATAAAAATGTTACACATACACAGACACTCCTGCTCTGTCATCCAAGACCCAGTACATTCGCAGAGGCAGGTTTAAAGGAGCAGTTCTAAGAGCAACCACAATGGCTAAAACACCAGCAGCTGCTTAAGGCAGCAATGCAAAAAGGTCTTGCAGGTTGTACAGCTCTTGCAAAATCCAAGATAAGTGTAAGGTTCAGGCAGTATTGTAGTGCTAAGGAGTTGCATCAGTAAGATACCATCCAAATAGCAATGCTTCAAAGCCTGGCTTACATGGACTGCCAGTTACCGATGCAGGAAGCTGATGGAAATTCAGAAGCCAGCCCTTCAGTGATGCTGGAAGGTCTCTCTCCCTCCCTAACTGCAGCAGAGACCCTATTTAAGTTACATAGTGAGACTGCTATCAGCCACCAAGCAAGCAAGCCACTCAGGCGGTTTTGTGGTCAGCACTGAATTAGTCATTGGGTACCTAGAAGTAGAAGAGGAGAACGTAGCCCCAGGAATCTCTTCAAGAGCTGCTTTGAGATAGCACCACTGCTCTGGAGAAGAATGGCATGCTGTAGGCAGGGAGCATCTGCTGTTAGTCATTCCTGCACTTTTGTCCTCTTGGAGGATCTTCCCTGCAGCAACCAAAAGGAATTGCTCTCAAGCCTGTGAAGCCAAACAACGTGTTTGTTTCACAGCCTTAGCCTTCACCTCTGTAGCCTGTGCTTCTAGGACAGGCACACACAACCCACACAGGCACACCCAACTCGGTTGCTATTCTCTGCCAAATAGCAAACACAGCAATAGGAATCCATGCTCATATTTAAAACCTAAGAGCTAAGTTAAAGTGCTAATGTAATCACAAAAGTTAAGGCATAAAATAAACTTTAACGTACCAGGTACTCCAAAGCAAAGTGTGCTTTTCATTTACAGCTGTTATGACCAAGAGCATCCTTATATATTCCTAGTTAGGGTACATGGAACAAATGAAGCCTCAAAGAACAAGGAAATTGATTCTTTTCTAAAAAGTTTCAGTCAATATGGCTGAATTAAATATGAAATACTAAAATCAATATCAGGAAAACCAGTATTGCTAAGCTTCCAAATAAGCACACTTAGCTAAATGATAATTCTTATGTGATGGAATGCATTCCAAGAAGCAATATTCACTGTATCTTCTGCTTCAGAAGATGCCAGCTTTGTTTTTCTCTTTGAAGAGATGCCCACACTACAAAAGTGTGGCACTGTACACTACAGAAGTGTTTACTATTTTCAGATAGTAATGGAACAGGCACTGAAGTTTTTATTTTTTGAACCTAGACATCAGTCCTGCCATAGTATTTTTTTAAGATAGCAAAAAGAATGAGATCTACTTCTCTTTTTTCAAAAACTCAAGTTAATGAACAGAACAAGCATCCACTATTTATTTTTCAAGCAAAAGAAACTCAGCTCCTGGACAATACTACTTTATTTACTGTGCCGTTAAATTTTAGCATAT